ACCCGCAGGAAGCGCAAACACAAACGCACACACATACACACGCGCACACACACACACAAACCAACAGAAAAATGCAACCGCGCGCACGCATGCACGCACATATGCACGCAACAGCTGCTTGGGCACGTGCCCTGCGCGCAAGTTGCTCTGCACAAGTGCTTTGTGCAACTTGCTCTGTGCAAGTTGCGCTGCGCAAAGTGCTCTGTGCAAGTTGCTCTGCGCGAGTTACGCTGCGGAAGTTGCTCTGCAAGTTGCTCTGCGCAAGCTGCTCTGCGCAAGTTGCTCGGCGCAAGTTGCTCGGCGCAAGTTTTGCAGCTGGAGCTGCAGGAATGTACTCCGCGTACTACTCTTGTGATTTTGGAGCTGGAGGTGCGGGAATGTACTCCGCGTACTACTTTTGCACTTAAAATTTGCGACTTTCAGCTGGAACTGCGTGCAGCCAGAGCTGCCGCGGACCAGGCGGGGATCGCACCCGCGACCGCGCGACATCGGAGAGCAGCCGCGCAAACCACGAGACAATTGCCAAAGACAAATTCGCAAGCAAAAAACACGCAAAAAAAAGGAGACAACTCCCGAGGACTACGTGTGCTACTTCTACGTAGTGCCGCATGCAAGTCAGACTTCGGGCTTCCGCTGCGTAGAGAAAGAGGCACTGCAGCTTCTTCTCCAAGCCGAGCTTCGAATCATTCTCGTGACGGCGCCAGTTCGCGCAGTGTGGCTGCCGATCACAAGGAGATCGCAATCCGTCTGTGCTGCGCGCAGTCACAGACTGCCCTTGGCTTCCGCGTGGAGGTTGAGGAAACTGCGAGGAACCAGAGCTCGTGCCACCAGCTGGACCATGTTGGCCATCAGCACCTGTCCTCGCACCCACACCCATTTGCCACAAAAAAGAACATAATTTGCCAGACAAAAAAAACAAGTATTACAGTTCGCTCCTCATTCACGCACGCACGCACAGACCCGCAGGAAGCGCAAACACAAACGCACACACATACACACGCGCACACACACACACACAAACCAACAGAAAAATGCAACCGCGCGCACGCACGCACGCACATATGCACGCAACAGCTGCTTGGGCACGTGCCCTGCGCGCAAGTTGCTCTGCACAAGTGCTTTGTGCAACTTGCTCTTTGCGCAAAGTGCTCCGTGCAAGTTGCTCTGCGCGAGTTACGCTGCGGAAGTTGCTCTGCAAGTTGCTCTGCGCAAGCTGCTCTGCGCAAGCTGCTCTCCTGGCAACAATCAGCGCAGCAAAACAAACACCAGCAAAACTCTCCAGATTTCGATCCTGGCCTGTGGCCTGGCCTGGCCTGTGGGCACAGCTTCTCCACGACAGCGGCAGCTAGGTCTGCCTTGGTCACGTTGCTGCCTGCGACCCATTGGCGCACATCCAGCCGTCGGGCGAGTGCGCGAAGTTGGGGTTGGGCTTTGGCCGCCATCTCTTGCTGCAGCCACGCTTTGCCATGCTGGGCCGCGCCAGCCTGAAGCCTAGCTACTTCGAGCTCCATGACTTCTGTTTGAGCCAAATCTCGACGATCATCCGCAAGGTGCCACATAACAACCAGCCGTGCGCGCCATGCCCGTAAATAAGCCGTGTGCGCCATGCTCCCCGCAACTTCTTTCATGATGAGAACTCCTTGCGTCAAACTCCTACAGGGTGAGTGGCCTGAAAGCATAACTCCCCACGATGTGCGGCAAACTTGTTTAACCCCGGCCTGGCACATGCGCAAGTTGCTCTGCGCAAGTTGCTTTGCGCAAGTTGCTCTGTGCGAGTTGCAGTGTGTGCAAGTTGGCGCGAGACAGCACCAGGCAAGGTGCTCTGCGCAAACTGGTCGGTGCAAGTTGGTCTGCGCAAGTTGCTCTACGCAAGTTGCACTAAGTTGCTCTGCGCAAGTTGCTCCGCGCAAGTTGCTCCGGCAAGTTGGTCCCTGCAAGTGGCTCCCTGCACGTTGCTCTGTGCGAGTTGCAATATGTGCAAGTTGGCGCGAGACAGCACCAGGCAAGGTGCTCTGCGCAAACTGGTCGGTGCAAGTTGGTCTGCGCAAGTTGCTCTACGCAAGTTGCACTGTGCAAGTTGCTCTGCGCAAGTTGCTCCGCGCAAGTTGCTCCGGCAAGTTGGTCCCTGCAAGTGGCTCCCTGCACGTTGCTCTGTGCGAGTTGCAATATGTGCAAGTTGGCGCGAGACAGCACCAGGCAAGGTGCTCTGCGCAAACTGGTCGGTGCAAGTTGGTCTGCGCAAGTTGCTCTACGCAAGTTGCACTGTGCAAGTTGCTCTGCGCAAGTTGCTCCGCGCAAGTTGCTCCGGCAAGTTGGTCCCTGCAAGTGGCTCCCTGCAAGTTGCTCTGTGCAAATTGCGCTCCCTGCAAGTTGCTCTGTGCAAGCTGCTCTGTGCAAGTTGCTCTGTGCAAGTTGCTCTGCGTAAGTTGCTCTGCGCAAGTTGTGCAAATTGCGCTCCCTGCAAGTTGCTCTGTGCAAGCTGCTCTGTGCAAGTTGCTCTGTGCAAGTTGCTCTGCGTAAGTTGCTCTGCGCAAGTTGCTCTAGGCAAGGCGCTCTGCGCAAACTGGTGGTGCGGTGCGCAAGTTGGTCTGCGCAAGTTGCTTTAAAATGCAAGTTGCATCTTGCGACGCCCGCCCGCGGACCAGGGAGGAATCGAACCCGCGACCCGCCGGCCCGGGAGCAGGCGCGCGAACCACGAGACAACTCCCGAGGACCAGTTCGAACAACAAAAGTCGCAAAAAACCTCGAGTTTTTGCACCTCGACCACGCCGATCCCCGCAGAGGGTTGCGCGGGCACCGCAGAAATCGCAAAAAACCATGGGTTTTTGCACCTCGACCACGCCGATCCCCGCAGAGGGTTTCGCAATCGACCACGCCGAAATGCGCGAGCACCGCATCGCAAAAAACCTCGGTTTTTGCACCTCGACCACGCCGATCCCCGCAGAGGGTCGCGCGAGCATGTTAGAAATCGCAAAAAACCATCGGTTTTTGCACCTCGACCACGCCGATCCCCGCAGAGGGTCGCGCGAGCACGCAGAAATCGCAAAAAACCATGGGTTTTTGCACCTCGACCACGCCGATCCCCGCAGAGGGTCGCGCGAGCACCGCAGAAATCGCAAAAAAACCATGGGTTTTTGCACCTCGACCACGCCGATCCCCGCAGAGGGTCGCGCGAGCAGCGCAGAAATCGCAAAAAAACCATGGGTTTTTGCACCTCGACCACGCCGATCCCCGCAGAGGGTCGCGCGGCACTTTAGAAATCGCAAAAAACCATGGGTTTTTGCACCTCGACCACGCCGATCCCCGCAGAGGGTCGATTTTCGTGTAGTGTCGTCGGCACTACCCCGCCGCCCTAAGAAGAGATTTTAACTCCTCGCAAGTCAATTGCACTTGACTCCTTGCACTTGCAACTTGCACTCGACTCCTTACACTTGCAACTTGCACTTGACTCCATGCACTTGCAACTTGCACTTGACTCCATGCACTTGCAACTTGCACCCGACTCCTTGCACTTGCAACTTGCACTTGACTCCTTGCACTTGCAACTTGCACTTGACTCCATGCGCATGACTCCTTGCAATGACTCCTTGCAATGACTCCTTGCAATGACTCCTTGCAATGACTCCTTGCAATGACTCCTTGCAATGACTCCTTGCAATGACTCCTTGCAATGACTCCTTGCAATGACTCCTTGCAATGACTCCTTGCAATGACTCCTTGCAATGACCTTGCAATGACTCCTTGCAATGACTCCTTGCAATGACTGCCTTGCAATGACTCCTTGCAATGACTCCTTGCAATGACTCCTTGCAATGACTCCTTGCAATGACTCCTTGCAATGACTCCTTGCAATGACTCCTTGCAATGACTTCTTGGAATGACTCCTTGCAATGACTCCTAGCACTGACTCCTTGCAATAACTCCTTGCAATGACTCCCTGCAATGACTCCTTGCAATGACTCCTTGCAATGACTCCTTGCAATGACTCCTTGCAATGACTCCTTGCAATGACTCCTTGCATTGACTTTCATGATGATGATTCCTTGCAATGACACCTTGTAATGACTCTCATGAGAACAACTCAAGTGAACCCAGCGGAAGAACCCTTCGCCATGCTTTCGGGAAGTACAGTCAGAGATACAAATGTTATTATTAACATGATGTATGAAAGAAGAAAGGAATATTGAATTATGTCTCGTCATCAATTAAATTATTATCCTGAAATTAAATTATAATTACCCCAAAAACCTTACAATAAATTTAAATTGTGAGATTTAAGATTTGGAGGGGGTGTTTTGGTTTTAGTTTCGTTGATAGGTTATTTTGTTTTGTATTTGTTCGTTTCCTGTTAGGGTTTTTGGTTTGGATGCTGGTTGTTCTGTGTTTAGTTTCAAGGAATATTTTAGAAACTATGGGCTACAAGAACATGGTTTAAAGGAATGTAGGTATTGTATACTAAGGATTATGACAGACAATAAAACTGAACTTTGTGCTAAATGTAGAAAGAAAAAAGCGTTATGAATTTGAAGAAGGTAGATTATGTTGTATAGAATGTGATGGATATAATGTAAATCATAGAGCAAAGCATAAAGACAGATACAATGAGGTACAAAGAAAAAGACATGAAGAAGATGATGAATATAGAATAAAGAGGCAGGAAGCAAAAAAGGAAAGGTCAAGAAATGTTGTAAGTTGTGATGGTTGTAATCGTTCAATGAGGCAAGACAGCTATTATCAACATCTGAAAACACATAAGCATTAAAAGAAAAAAAGAAATGAAACAGACAGAAGAAACAAAATATTATGTTTATCAAGTTATGTTGTTTCATAAAATTGTATAAGGTTAATATGAAATATACCTGATTAACCTTACATAATATTTGATGGATATTTCGTAAAATCATTATTTAAAAACGATGGGATCAACTACTGCGCAGAATATATGTTTCTCTATTTTTCCCCTCGCGTTCCCCTCTCGTTCGCTCTCTCGACCGTCCGGCCTCACCCTTGGGACCAACTGCCGTAGGCGGCGGGCTGGTGGCTGGAGCTTTGTCCGTCTTCACCGCCAGATCCTTGTCCTTCAGCTTGATGCTGACCTCGCGACACAAAGCACAGGCCGTGAGGCCATGAGGCCATGGGACCCATGAGGCCACGAGAGCCATGAGGCCATGGGACCCATGAGGCAACGGCCCAACCGACTGCTGGCCCCGTGCCGCTGACCAGCTTGTAGCACAGCCGCTCTCCCTTCAACTCCAACTCTTCCACCAAAGCACCCGTGGAGAGTCTGTCATCAAGCTGGTTCGACTTGGTGGTCTCGCCATCCCTGTGCCCAACACAGGTCGGGTCGTACACGGGTCGTGCACGGGTCGTGAAATGAGTACTCAAGTGGCAAGAAATGCAAAACCAGCTCCCAGCCTTACAATGATGCCACCTTTGTCCGCTCCGCCAACTATCTCCCACATCTGCACCATGGCAAATTACAACAGCCCAAAACCGCAAATCGGGAGGCGTCAAGCTTGAGCCAAGTGCACATGCTCCCAATCAAGGTGTCGGACAGTGAGAATTGCATTTCACACGATCTGCTTTGCCTGAGGCATTTCCTCTTGGAGAGTGGCCCGAAGTGCCTGAGGCATTTCACTCGATCAAATTGACGTCACATTCATTCTGCATTGGCATGGACCGGAAACTGCGCCTCTGCGGTCGCTTTCCTGACGTCCTCGACGATTGACCGACGAACCTGACCAAGCCCGACTTTCGACCCCTCTGCCAAAAAGGAAAGCAATGGGCCTCTTCAATGGCAGCCCGAATCGCCACGATGTCATCCTGCAGCTCGCATGCCAATCCTAGTGACCTAATGACCTGATGGCATCGCGTGTGCTTGTGCTTCGGCACCTTCTCTGCATCCGTTCGCATGGACACGTCCTGTCGCTCTCGGCTCGGGTGCTGGCATTTTACACTTCTCACAATATGCCATGTAGTAACTCACTATAACTGTGGTAACAGGTTTGACGCAAAGCAACTCAGCCCACATTGCACCCACTTTGCACCAGCCTCAAAGAGGTCGCCAATATTACCGGCGACGTGCGGAGAAGTATGACTCTTCGGCTCTTCAAAAAGTTGCGTGGCCAATGGAACTTGGGTACCTCAAGACAATGCACCATGCTTTTGTGCGGGAACCAACATGTGACAATTGCGCTTGGCTCAAAAAAGAGTTTGCGGGGACCGCATTGTAGCGTGTGCTCTCTTCACCAAGCCAGATTCTCAGGTCTGGTACTTTGAGCCACAGCCAAATGGATCTGACTTCTGGCATGGAAAGCGCACATGCAAGTGCGAGTTTCAAGTACAAGTTTCGTGCAAGCTCTCGTGTTCTGCCCTCATTCAGTCCCTTCAGTTCCTCTCGAGTTCCTTCACCAGAAGCGGCACGGGGCGCAGGGCGCCTGCTCCGAGGCATCCGAGTCCGCATCGCAGGCCTTGCCGCCGCGCTGTGCGCGGACGGCCACGCGCCGGGCCCGCTGCATGGAGCCGCCGCAGGTCGCGGAGCAGCGGCCCCAGGCCGCCCAGTCCCCCCACGCGCAGTCCACGGCACCCGCGCAGCTCTCCGTCTCCACGAAGCTGCAAGCGGAACTCTTCACACCGCGCGCCAGCTCCTCTTGTTCCGGCTCATGCCGCAGAACGCTCCATGGGACTTCCAGCACACGGCCGGCCGTATCTGGGCCACTGTATTTCAAGACACCAGCAGATGGAGCCCGCGCTTCCAGCAGAATGGAATGCCCGCCTTGCGGGAGCCATCGCTTGAAGCTCTTGCCATCGGCATGATCGGCATCGGCAACGAAAGCGGCACCCAGCTTCAAGCGGAGCCCTGTGATGTGGAAGGAGTACCTGCCTGGCTCTGAGACCAGCAGGCGCCCAGACCAGCGTGCCGCTTGCATCCCTTCTGGCAGTCGCAGGGACTTCTCGGACCGCGTCGTGAGATTCGAGCCGAACTGGTACTCGGCCGCCAGCCCAACCGCGTCACGTGTACGGACACGCTTCCCCACACTGCAAATACTCCACTGGCTCCAGGCGTCAATACTCCACTGGCCACACTTGGAAAAGTCTTCCGATGCTTCTGCTCCTCGAGATTCTCGTGGGAAGATGGGGCGACGCATGGGGCGCTTGGTCTCGAACACCTCATGCTCGTTCTTGTGCGAGCGCATCAGTGGCTGGCGCTTTGCCACATCCACACCTCTACGCATCAAGCCCGGATCAGCCAAGGCATACTGCAAAAGCAGCAAGATAGCAAACGCCATCCGGTTACAAACGAACTAGATCACAAACAACTCCCCGGCCATGACGAGGAAGGCTTCGAGCCATTCAAGAACACAGTGCAAGCAGACATGATGATGCAATGTGCTGCCGGAATTACTCCGCAACATGAATCAATGTGCCAATTGAAATCCAAGCAGAAACGAAAAACTGAATTCCGAAATCCTAAAAGAAAAGATAGCAACTGGAACTTGCAATCGCAAACTGTTTTGCTTCCCGAGTCCGCTGTAACAGTGCCCACAGCTTGAGCATCGAGTCCCAGCTCGCGGATAGCTTCCAGGAAGCGGAGTTTGATTAGTTGGCTCCTTTGGGGTCTCAGGTCGCGTGCGCGCTGAGACACATCTGGGCAAGCTGAGCCAGCTTTGCAAAGGGAACGAGGCTTGCAACTGATGGACACACCTCAAAGTGAGCTGAACCTAAAACCCTAACGGAAGCCTTTCCACATTGCCCCATTCCATTCGTGCGTCTCCATCGCGGCCATTCAAGCCCCACCTCTCATGCCTCGTGAAAATTGCTCCCTTGGGGTTCCAGGAGCCCGAGACATCTTTCTGCCTGTTCCTTCTCGCATGACAAACCAGTGCCATTGCCAGGTACCGACGTGGTGTGCAAGCAAACAATATGTGCCTAACAGCTGTATCGGCCTCTTTGGGTGTCTAACTTGGTCCATTGAGGTTTGCTCATCGTATGGCATCAAAGGCATCCCAATGTCGGCTCAGGGCGAAAACTGAGTCATGCACAGGCATCGAACTGCTGCCGTTCGATTTTCCTAGCATCCTTAGCCAAAGCTCACAAAGCCGGAAGGTCAGAACGTGTCGAAAGTGAAATGGATGTTTGGATCTCTGCCAACTACCGATGGGTTTTAACGACACATGGCCACCTTATTGCGCGCTTCGCGCAACCTCACAGCAACTAGTTCCATGCGTGTGGCTTTCTGCGGCCAAGGGGATGCCCTTTAGGTTAAGGTTTACAGAGAGTAAGAAGAAAATAAAGAAAAGAATGGGAACAAAAAAAAACACACACACACATTGAAGTCAATGCCGACTTGGGTTGCATTGCATATAGCATCAATCCTGCGAACCCAAACAGCAACACACAAAGTGTGCAATTTTGCCGCGTACATTTTGATGCCCCTGTTTAATAAAACTCGGTCAAATGCAATGTGAGAGATTTTGACCGTCATCAACATACCACAAAGACCTTGTTGCGCAGCCGGGGCGGGAAAAACAAATGAAAATTCAATCATGTTTCCCTGCTGTCTTGAGCAATCGAAGCCAACATTGGGTGCGCCCTATTGTTTTGGTGTGGGGCGTCGTTCCGCTTGCATTTGCAAACCAAAATGCAGGAAGATCGGCATTCTCCAGAACCCAACGCATGCATGCCAGTTTGAATCTGCTCAACCTTTGTAACGTTCATCTCATTCACGGCTTCTTCCCCAAACCGTTTGCCCGGCGCGCGTTCGAGAAGCTGATACAAACTAAAACACAAACACATGGTCAGCTCAGGTCCAACGCTAGGACTCGTTGACTGAACCGATTGCCATCGAGCGCGGTCCTTCTGAAATCGTCTCGTGCAAACTGTTTGATTCTGCCGTGCAGCTGCTGAAGTTTAACACCCAGGTCATCGACTCGTCTTCCCCACTACGCTCTACGGACACTTGAGCCGTTGAGCAACACAGAACTCAGGACAGAACTGAGCCGTTAAAGGTCCCGCGCACTGCTCCTAGCCTCAAACCACAGAGAACCCAGAACCCAAAAGCCGACAGCAAGGCGCACACCTTTTTTACCGGGTTGCTTGGGAAGGCACTGCGGTGCACCTAGGACAAGGGGCGAGATGTTCCCCTCCTTCAGTGCTTCCCAAGGCAACCCCGGAAACAGGCGACTGAGGCCAAGGCGCAAGGTCCCCTCTTCAGTGCGGGGTTGCACCTGCGGCGGAACGAAGCACAGGGAGAGGCAATGCGAGGGCATTGCTGATACCTCAATGCAACGGCTTTCATCAGTCCATTTTCCTGATGCTTTGGAGTTTGAGCGCAAACTCTGCCATCGCAGCCAGGTCTTCTGGCCACGGAAAAGCGCGTGCAGAGCACAGCGCATCCACAGCTCAACCCACTGAACCCCCACACTCTCCGGGCTCCTTGCTATATGTCCTATATGTACTATATGGTATCCAGACGCGCATTAAATACACTATATGTGCCAAACACTGCATATTTGGTACATGTTGAGATGCTATGTGTGTAGTACACAGCTCTGTGAGACCCATATAGCACGGGACCCGGGGGAGAGTGGAGGTTCTGTGGGTTGCCTTGTAAGAGCCATATAGCACATGTAGCACATATAGCAAGGACCCGGACGTTCCTGCCAGCATCGAAGCCTCCAGCCGGCCAAACCGCGCCACGTTCCTGCCCGGCATTGAATGTCGATTCTTCCCAGGAAAAATGTAAGTCCTCCCGGGAGGAGGACTGCAGCGCATTATTTTGTTCACAGAATTGCCCTCGCCAATCCTGCGCTGGCAACAGGCTTGCCCTCTCCAATCCTGTGCTGGCAACAGGATTGCTCCGCAGCCCCCAGCCTGCTGCCGCCCCGCACGAGCCGCTCGGTGGGCGTCGATGTCGATTTGGGTCATCTCACGGAGGCGAGCGACATCGATTTTAAGCTGCTCATGCAGGCGGTCGGTTTCGATGTGGAGCTGCTCATGGAAGGCGATGACTTCTTCGCCTACGAGGCGCTCTCGAGGTTGCTGGGGTCGGTCAAGAGCTGATCACGACGGACGTCGGTTTCGTCTGGAAGCCATTCATGGAGAACGTCGGTTTCGATCGCGAACCGCGTCCAGGCGGCGTCGGTCTCGATTTTGAGCAGCTCCCGGAGGCCGTCGGTTTCGACTTTGAGCAGACCCTGGAGGGCGTCAATCATGCCTTTGAGCCACGCTGCGTTGGTCCGCGTCGCATGTTCTCCCATCGGTTGGGCGTCTGTGCGCTGGCGCTTGCGCTGCGACTCCTCCTCGAACTGTCGCTCTTCTTCTTGCATCCACTGCTGGTTTGCAAGGTGCAGCCGACGCATCTCGTCGGGCTCCTGGTGCTGGGCGTCGTACAGCCTTTTCTGGTTTGCGAACCAGCAGTCCATGGCAGCAACGTCGGCCTCCCGCTTCTCGAGCAGGTCTCGCTGCAAAACCACGGGCGCGCCGGAGAGGCCATGGTCTCAAGATGAGAATAGAGGCAGCGGTATAGGCGCGAGTTGTTTAAAACCCACAGGCGCCAGCCCGCCCGCCGCGGCAGAGACTACCGGAGGCCAGCAGCAGGATGAACGCACCGCCAATCCTGCGCTGGCAACAGGATTGCCCCCGCCAATCGCTGGCAACAGGCACGTCTCCCTGAAAACTCCGGCTGCGATGCGGTAAATATCGCATCTCTCCCGGACTCGCCGCCCAGCTTCCCGGCTTCGAATTTGGGAAGTAACGCAAAGGGACGAATGGGGAAGATCAAGCTTTTCCCCACGACCGAGTACACCAGCAAACAAGCCTCGGACCCCGTGGTGCCCCTGGCGCCGTGCACCGGCATCTTCCTCGGGCCGTCGAAATCGGGCAAGACCGTGGCGCTGATCAGCCTGATTCTGGAGCAGTATCGAGGCGTCTTCGAAAGGATCTACGTCTTCAGCCCAAGCGTTAACATCGACGACGGCTGAATCCCCGTCAAGAAGTACATCGAGGAGGACCTGGGGGTGAACACGGAGCGCGAACAGGCCTACTGGGACGAGTGGGACGAGCCGGCGCTGCGCCGCATCATCCAGCAGCAGCGCAAGATCACGGAGGCGTCCAAGAAGTTGGAGATGAAGAAACTGTACCAGGTCCTGATAATCACGGCGCCCTTGACACGCTCTTCATCCGAGGCCGGCACACGCAGATCAGCACCTGGGTGAGCTCCCAGAAGCTGAGGCTCATCAGCGCCGCCGTGCGGGTCAACATGCAATTCCTCTGCTGCTCTGCGCAACCAGCACGAGCTGGACGCCGTCATCGAGGAGCTGAGCTGAGCGCACTGCCGAAGGAGCTGTACCGGCTGTACAAGCAAGCGACCCGAGAACCCTACAGTTTCCTCTTCGTGTACTACCTGAAGCCGAAGAACGAAATGTTCTACAAGCGCTTCGAAGAGCGTTTCGGCGCTCGAAAAAGACGCCGATGGGAGCGGCGCTCGGCTTCCTGGGCCAGAAGCTGTTCGCCAGCTCCACGCTGATCAACGCGAGGTGTACATCTCCTGCTGCACTTCCGTCGCAGCCGTCCAGTCGCCCGTCGTTCGCCGGACGGGTGGCTTCCTAAAAGGATGACGACCATCTACGTGGACAGCCGCAAGAGGGTGGCCGGCTCGGACAGCGACTTCGAAACTACCCCGCCACGCCGGCCGCCTCTCCGACCAAGCCCTTCAGCGTGGACCACATGCTGGGCCCGAGCTTGGTCTTCAAGTTCGTCCGGATGATGGCACACAACCAGGTCTACCTGCGCTGCACCCAGTTGGCTAACGCCAGCCGAGTGTTGGGCAACCTGGGTGACGACATCCTGTCCAAGATCACGCTGAAGAGCGGCGTGGTTACTCTGAGGCACCTGCGCTTCCGGCTGACCGACCTGGACGGACGTCGTCCGGCTTCAAGGGTCCTTGTCGTTTCTCCTGTATCTTGACCACGTATACTTAAAAAGGATGGAGCCGCCGAACACGACAGGGCGCCGGGGCGCAGGAGGAGGAACAGCACGCTGCGCCGGAGGCACCGCACGCTGCGCACGCTGCGCCGGAGGCACCGACGCCGGAACCGAAACGACGGGGCAGACCTTGGCAGCAACAAACCGAAGCAGGACGTGCCCACCGAGCCGGCTGCCTCGAAGCGCAAGCCAAAGCCGACAGGCGCAAGCGTACTGGTATGAAAAGCAAGATGATGTCCATCGAGCCACGCTTTTTTTGTCACCTGCGCGCCTTGGGGCAATTGCCATCGGTCACGAAACAAGATGTACATCGGATATACTAGAGAAGTGAGACAGAGTGAGACAGAGATGCCACATGAACGAAACGGAGGAACCACAACGAAAAACACAACACACAACCAGAGAACAAAGCACCACCGAGCAATGAGTCGTTTCGCCCAAAGGGAGA